GGAATGCTCTTTGTTTGAGAAAAACACCCAGAGGACTCTTGGAAATTGATCCAATATTGCCACAACTTTACAGGCCCATGGTTGGGGCATTGAGTTGTGTTTGTGTGCTTGCAAGCATGTTTTCATATTTGTCACTAAGGCATAGGCTTGCCTTACATTTTCCTAAATATCTTCCATCTTCCTTAGTGTGGTCCGTGGGCGGGTGAACCAGCTTGCCATTAAACAGCCCCCGCCGGCCGCCCCCGCAGCCTCACCCACGGCACAGATGACTCAGCCATAAACATTGACTGGCTGATAAACTGGATAAATGGGCAGGCCCAATTACCAACCTTTACAGGCCTGCTGATCCCACTGGCCATACTCCAGGCAGGCCCACTGTTACACCTCTGTCCAATGAGGTGGCCCAGTGGTGCTAGTCCCAGACCTGAATACGCTTGGCCAGGTGCTGTAGCACCAGGACTATCTGAGAGTTCCTCCAGGATTATCAAGTTTGACCTATGCTGACTCCATATATTGTACATTCAAACTTTATTACCGTTATACCCTACACACATTCACTTTCATTTATCACTTTGGCATCTATAATTCAGTATGTTTTACTGAATGAAGAAATTCTCAGCCTGCGGTGAGAGTTGATATTGAGCTTGTTCATTTTGCCGTGGTAGTTCAGCTCTGTCGCATCTACTCCTGAGCAATTCCATTATTATTGTTTTATTATTTTATTTCACCTTTATTTAACCAGATAAGCCAGTTGAGAACAAGTTCTCATTTACAACTGCGACCTGGCCAAGATAAAGCAAAGCAGTGCGATAAAAACAACAACAACACAGAGTTACATATGGAATAAACAAAACGTACAGTCAATAACACAATAGAAAATCTATATACAATGGTGTGTGTATGTGTGTGAGGGGCTGGAGAATGGCCAGCAGCTCATCCCACTTCCTCCATCACCTCAAATTGATGATGCCAGTTGCTTAATGGAATACGATCTTCTTTCAATAGTATTGATCCTTATTTGTTTCAGGACAATTAGAAAGTTGATAATTCCTACTTGTGAAGTAATACATTTTTTCTCTAAAATATCTTTAGATCTTTTTTGTTCGTGGCCTATGTGGGAATATAGTTACAGTGCTTGTTGCGTATGTTGGTTGTTATTGTTCTGTGCCTCTGTGAGCTATTAGAAGTGCTAATTCACACTGTTATCCCTGTCCCTGTGCTTATAGGCAGTGGTTGCCTATCAAGAGAAGTAGGCGAGCCAATTGCACCAACAGCTTTATCATTCATACACCCAGAGAAACTGATTCTAGTATATTGGGTGTTTGCTATATGATGTCAGTTACGTAGGCGACAGTTTTTGTGACAGGTTTCTATGCTATGTTGATACTGTGTTGTGTGTGTGTGGTGCCTTTAGTGATGTCAGCCTATATACTGTATCTAGAGGGAGTGTGGTGCTTACCGACAGAGAGACAGTTTTCCTAGTGTGTCTTGGTTGCAGTGGCTGGGTCTGTGGGCCGTGCTACAGCTGCGTGATCAGGTCAGCAGTCTCTCTGAGGGGTTGTGGAGTGGGCTGTTGAGCCTCTGTGCTCCTCCTCTGTAGTGCTCTAAGTGTGTCTGATAGAGCCTCATGAGAAAACACTTGAGAGAGTTTAGTGCTAATGAGCTGTGAGTCAGTCATAGGGACAGCAGGGCTGTTAATGACGCTCTAACACACAATCTCACACACACATGCACGCGCACAAACACACACACACACACACACAAACTTGGGGATTCTACATGAGTATCATCAGCATGGTTCTGGGATTCTGTGGTGGGAAGCAGATTATTGACTCATGTAAGAACCGTCTGTCACACTAAACAAAGGCATGGGTCGTATTCAGGTTTCTCTCCTTGTTTCAGTCCGTTTTCCGTTAAGTGCCTAATGAATATCACCAACGTGTCCTGGACTGGAGTCAACATGACATATTTAGCTTTACCTTCTCTCACCTTCAAACGCTTTTGTCAGAGCTTTTTTTCTCTCTCTCCAAATATGGTGAATTATTAATGGGAGAAAGCAGCATGAAAGAGACTGTCAGGGTCCATTAAAGTCATGTGTGCGTGAGATTGAAGAACCTTGAGGCTCTGGTTGCGCATATCAAACCCTAGGTTTGTTCGTAGAACATTTCTGATGAATTGACATAACCGGGAAGCCTTTGTGTCACGATCGTCGTAAGAGGCGGACCAAGGCGCAGCGTGATATGCGTACATCTTTTAATGAGTACTTTAACACAAATAACAAAACAACAAACGATACGTGAAGTCTACAGGTTCACCAACACAAACCTATACAGAACAAGATCCCACAATAAACTGTGCCAAACAGGCTGCCTAAGTATGGTTCCCAATCAGAGACAACGAGAATCAGCTGCCTCTGATTGGGAACCACCCTGGCCAACATAGAAAACAACGATCTAGAACAGAAACCTAGAAAACTAAACATAGAAACTAACACCCTGGCTCAACATAAAGAGTCCCCAGAGCCAGGGCGTGACAGTAACCCCCCCCCCCCCCAAAGGTGCGGACTGCGACCGCGCCAACCAAACACCACAGGGGAGGGGCCGGGTGGGCATTCCGCCTCGGAGGCGGATCCGGCTCCGGGCGCGACCACCACTCTCTCTCTCGCCCTCGTGGTCTGGCCCTGCTGACCGGAGCTGGACTGAACACGGATTGCTCTGGCTCCGGCGTGGAGCAGCTGACCGGTGCCGGACCAGGCACAGGTGGAACAGGCACGGGCTGTGCCGGACTGACGACGCGCACCACTGGCTTGGTACGGGGAGCAGGAACGGGCCGGACCGGGCTGACGACGCACACCACAGGCTTGGTGCGGGGAGCAGGAACAGGCCGGACCGGGCTGGCGACGCGCACCACTGGCTTGGTGCGTGGAGCAGGAACGGGCCGGACCGGGCTGGCGACGCGCACCACTGGCTTGGTGCGGGGAGAAGGAACAGGCCGGACCGGGCTGGCGACGCGCACCATTGGCTTGGTGCGGGGAGCAGGAACGGGCCGGACCGGGCTGATGACGCGCACCATTGGCTTGGTGCGGGGAGCAGGAACGGGCCGGACCGGGCTGACGACGCGCACTACTGGCTTGGTGCGGGGAGCAGGAACGGGCCGGGCTGGCGACGCGCACCACAGGCTTGGTGCGGGGAGCAGGTACAGGCCGGACCGGGCTGGCGACGCGCACCACTGGCTTGGTGCGGGGAGCAGGAACAGGCCGGACCGGGCTGGCGACACGCACCATTGGCTTGGTGCGGGGAGCAGGAACGGGCCGGGCCGGGCTGGCGACGCACACCACAGGCTTGGTGCGGGGAGCAGGAACAGGCCGGACCAGGCTGGCGACGCGCACCAGAGGGGAGCAGGAACAGGTCGGACCGGGCTGATGACGCGCACCACTGAATTGGTGCGGGGAGCAGGAACAGGCCGGACCGGGCTGGCGACGCGCACCACTGGCTTGGTGCGGGGAGCAGGAACAGGCCGGACCGGGCTGGCGCCGCGCACCACTGGCTTGGTGCGGGGAGCAGGAACAGGCCGGACCGGGCTGGCGACGCGCACCACTGGCTTGGTGCGGGGAGCAGGAACAGGCCGGACCGGGCTGGCGACGCGCACCATTGGCTTGGTGAGGGGAGCAGGAACAGGTCGGACCGGGCTGATGACGCGCACCACTGGCTTGGTGCGTGGAGCAGGAACGGGCCGGACCGGGCTGTGGAGACGGACTGGAGGTCTGGAGCGAAGAGCTGACACAACCCGTCCTGGCTGAATGCCTATTTCTACACACTCTGTGTGAGGCATCAGCACAGGACGTACAGGGCTGTGCACTCGTACTGGCACTACAGCACGTGGCACTGGCGCAGGATATCCGGGACCGAGGAGGGGTACTGGAGGCCACGAGCGTTGAGCCGGCACACTCTGTCCTGGCTGCATGCCCACCTTAGCACGACACGTGCGTGGTGCTAGCACAGGACGTACAGGACTGTGCCGGACCACTCGCGGCACAGTACGCAGCTCCGCATAACTCGGAACCTGCCCAGTCTCACGCTGCCTAGCCTGAGTACGGGGAGTTGGCTCTGCTCTACCTCTAGGCTCCGCCAACCTCCCTTCCAGCCCCCCAAACCTGGTGGCCTCCTCTCCTAATCCGCCGATACGTCCTGTAGCTGCCTCCAGCATCCCCGTCGTCCATGCCGTGTGCCCCCCCAAAAACAATTATTGGGTTTGCCTCTCGCCTGTCCGACGACGACCCGGTTGGCGCCGCTTCTCCTCTCCTGCCTGGGCATCCTCCCTCATCGCCCTCCGGTAGCGGACGGCCTCCTCCTCTGTGATTCTCCCCCAACCGAGGAGGACATCTACCAGAGTAACCTCCTGTTCCATACCCGGCATTTGCTCCTGCACACGCTGCTTGGTCCTATTTTGGTGGGATCTTCTGTCACGATCGTCGTAAGAAGCGGACCAAGGCGCAGCGTGATATGCGTACATCTTTTAATGAGTACTTTAATACAAATAACAAAACAACAAACGATACGTGAAGTCTACAGGTTCACCAACACAAACCTATACAGAACAAGATCCCACAATAAACTGTGCCAAACAGGCTGCCTAAGTATGGTTCCCAATCAGAGACAACGAGAACCAGCTGCCTCTGATTGGGAACCACCCTGGCCAACATAGAAAACAACGATCTAGAACAGAAACCTAGAAAACTAAACATAGAAACTAACACCCTGGCTCAACATTAACGAGTCCCCAGAGCCAGGGCGTGACACTTTGGTCGTGATTGAGTATTTGTTTGTAACTGTGCATTAATGTATCTTTTGTTTTGGCCTTTACATACAATAACAATATAGCTAGAATGTGGCGAGTGGACATATTGGCAACAGGCTTTAGCAAGTAGAGAGAGAGTGAAAAGCAAAGAAGACAAGAGGGAAAATAACATGAAAGAAGAGAGATGAGACATGATAGGAGGGATGAAAAGGAGATTTGAGAGTTTAGGCTGGTAGTTCAGCACCTCGAGCACTATCCAGTGTTTAGACTTGATATATAAAATGGCCGTATAACATTGCACTTTCTGCTACTGTTGGTTTTGCAGCCTAAGCAGGAAAAGTTGTAATAAAGATCCAGGCATTAATAATGGACAAAGGGAGAATCCTCTGAGCAAATGGTGATGGCCATTAGAGAATAGTGAGGATAGAGGCTATGTCTGGAATGACACCCTATTCCCTATGTAGTGTACTACTTATTAACAGAAGTAGTGGTTGTAAAGGGTGTGATTAGTGGAGAGTAAAGAGCTCTGGTTAAAAGGAGTGCACTATGGAGGAAAAGTTGTAATTTGAGATGCATCCATAATATACAGTGGTTTATATACAACGAATATTGAGTCTGAAATTGTCGTTTTGTTTCACATGTCAACTGTAGCTCAGCTGGTAGAGCACGGCGCTTGTAACGCCAGGGTAGTGGGTTCGATCCCCGGGACCACCCATACACAAAAAAGAAATTGATGCACGCATGACTGTAAGTCGCTTTGGTTAAAAGCATCTGCCAAATGGCATATTATTATCTACAGTCATTTTCCCTCTCCTCTTTGTGTTGTCAGTTTTTCACAGACCCCTGTGGCAGCAGCCCCTGTTTCCATGGCAACTGTAGCCGCAGTGGCGAGGGCGATGTGTACACCTGCGAGTGCAGCGTGGGGTACGAGGGGGAGAAGTGTGAGCAAGCCACCTTGGACCCCTTGGACCTGCTGCCTGTCTCCAATTGGGACCCTGCCACACCTCCTGCCCCCGAACAGGCCACACCCGCCACGCCCACAACCGCCACTCAGCCCTCCCAGACAACCACGGTGTCCACCACAACGCAGGCCCCTCCCACGCTGCAGCCGTGGCAGCCTAAGGCTGGACAGAGACTCTTGGTGGTGCAGTGGGAGAAACAACAGGTCAGAGATGAATGCTACCTGTACTATATTCGTCACAACAGACCAGCTGACCAGCTAGCTAGGTTCAGAGTTCACATAACTTCTTTATTTGTCTTATAAAATAATGACATTTATCCTCTTGCTGCCTCGTGTGTATTTTTGTGTATTTCCATGTACAGTACCAGTCAAACGTTTGGACACACCTACTCATTCAAGGGTTTTTCTTAATTTTTACTATTTTCTACATTGTAGAATAATAGTGAAGACAACAAAACTATGAAATAACACATATGGAATCATGTAGTAACCAAAAAAGTGTTAAACAAATCAAAAATATATTTTAGATTTTAGATTCTTCAAAGTAGCAACCCCTTGCCTTGATGACAGCTTTGCACACTCTTGGCATTCTCTCAACCAGCTTCATGAGGAATACTTTTCCAACAGTCTTGAAGGAGTTCCCACATATGCTGAGCACTGCTTTTCCTTCACTCTGTGCTCCAACTCATCCCAAACCATCTCAATTGGGTTGAGGTCAGGTGATTGTGGATGCCAGGTCATCTGATGCAGCACTCCATCACTCTCCTTGGTCAAATAGCCCTTACACAGCCTGGAGGTGTGTTTTGGGTCATTGTCCTGTTGAAAAACAAATGATAGTCCCACTAAGTGCCAACCAGATGGGATGGCATATCGCTGCAGAATGCTGTGGTAGCCATGCTGGTTAAGTGTGCCTTGAATTCTAAATAAATCACAGACAGTGTCACCAGCAAAGCACCCCCACACCATCACACCTCCTCCTCCATGCTTCACGGTGGGAACCACACATGCGGAGATCATCCGTTCACCTACTCTGCGTCTCACAAAGACACGGCTGTTGGAACCAGAAATCTCAAATTTGGACTCATCAGACCAAAGGACACATTTCCACCGGTCTAATGTCCATTGCTCGTGTTTCTTGGCCCAAGCAAGTCTCTTCTTATTATTGGTGTCCTTTAGTAGTGGTTTCTTTGCAGCAATTCGCACATGAAGGCCTGAATCACGCAGTCTCCTCTGAATAGTTGATGTTGAGATGTGTCTGATACTTGAACTCTGTGAAGCATTTATTTGGGCTGCAATTTCTGAGGCTGGTAACTCTAATGAACTTATCCTCTGCAGCAGAGGTAACTCTGGGTCTTCCTTTCCTGTGGTGGTCCTCATGAGAGCCAGTTTTATCATAGCGCTTGATGGTTTTTGCAACTGCACTTGAAGAAACATTCAAAGTTCTTTACATTTTCCGTATTGACTGACCTTCATGTCTTAAAGTAATGATGGACTGTAATTTCTCTTTGCTTATTTGAGCAGTTCTTGCCATAATATGGACTTGGTCTTTTACCAAATAGGGCTATCTTCTGTACACCACCCCTACCTTGTCACAACACAACTGATTGGCTCAAACGCATTAAGAAGGGGAACAATTCCACAAAATAACTTTTAAGAAGGCACACCTGTTAATTGAAATGCATTCCGGGTGACCACCTCATGAAGCTGGTTGAGAGAATGCCAAGAGTGTACAAAGCTGTCATCAAGGCAAAGGGTGGCTACTTATATATTTTGATTTGTTTAACAATTTTTTGGTTGCTACAAGATTCCATATGTGTTATTACATAGTTTTTATGTCTTCACTGTTATTCAAAAAATGTAGAAAATGGTAAAAAAATAAAGAAAAACCCTGGAATGAGTAGGTGTGTAGGGCGGCAGGTAGCTTAGTGGGTAAGAGCGTTGTGCCAGTAACCGAAAGGTCGCTGGTTCTAATCCCCAAGCTGACTAGGTGAAAAATCTGTCGATGTGCCCTTAAGCAAGGCACTTAACCCTAATTGCTCATGTAAGTCGCTCTGGATAAGAGTGTCTGCTAAATGACTAAAATGTAAATGTGTGTCCAACCTTTTGACTGGTACTGTGTGTGTGTTTGTATGTTTCTGTGAGTGTGTATGTGTGTCCATGCATGTGTATGTTTGTGTGTGTGTGTTTCTGCTGTTGCAGGTGACGGAGGGACTGCACTGTGTGAGTCCTGAGCTGTGTGAGCTGACCTCTGGAACTCTGACTCTCTCTCTAGAGGTGCCCGAGGAGACTGCCATCAAGTAAGACTACTGGTACCTTCCTGTGTGTGTGTTTGCGTAGTGCTCTCCCGCTCTCCCCTGTGTGCTCCAAATCCCCCTTTCCCTCTCTTCCTCCCTCCCCTGTTTATCCTAACTTCTCCCTCTCTCCCAAGTGAACTATAGTTCTGCATAAAACCACACTGGAGACTACACTACATCTGTCTTCCCTTGAGATCATTGTCTTATGATTATCGTCCTGTGTCATTTACATAGAACTTGCAGTCTTTCATTATTCAGTCAGCAACCCCGATGGTAGCAAATAACCCCCATTGTGTTGCCCAAGTTTAGTGCCTGAATGCAATGTGTTCTGATTTAAGCAAGCATCATAAATGTCCTTTAGTGGTAGATGTCCATTTATAGTGTGTCTTTATGAATGACGGGAGAGTGGAGACATAAGAGGTCTTTATCAGCACAACAGTGTCCGCTCTTGGCTGCAGGCAAATATCGTTTTTGTGTTGTGTTCACATGCACACGCAGACACACACACACACACACACACACACACACACAACTGAAAGTGACATCAATTTAGGAATGCTAATGAGAAAGAGGCTAAATGGAAGATGGGTACAGAGAGAGAGAGAGAGAGAGAGAGAGAGAGAGAGAGAGAGAGAAGAACAAGTAGTCAGGTCTGAGCAGGTAGACAGCTAGGGTTAGCTGTTCAGCAGTCTGATGGCCTGATGGTAGAAGCTGTCTCGGAACCTGTTGGATCGAGAACCGATGCTTCGAAACTGCTTGCCAGATGGTAACAGAGTGAACAGTCCATGGCTCGGGTAACTGGAGTCCTTGGCGATCTTCCAGGCCTTCCTCAGACACCGCCTGGTGTAAATGTCCTGGAGGGCAGAGAGGTCTTGCAGCTGTAGAACTTCTTCAGGATCTGAGGGCCCATGCCATATTTCTTCAGCCACTTGAGGTTGGAGAGGCACTGTTGCGCCTTCTTCACCACGGTGTCGGTGTGATTGGTCCATGTCAGGTCCTCTGTGATGTGTGCGCCGAGGAACTGGAAAATGTTAACCCTCTCAGCTGCAGCCCCATCAATTTTATTGGAAACAAATGAAATGTGATTTTTCAAGTTTTTGTTGTTTTCAGTGAGGACCCCAAGAATTTAGTGGATTGAATGCGGGATAATCGATTTCCTAATGGAAAATGTAGAATAAAGAACATGTAAGAACTTTTTGTATATTTAAAGTAGGGTTGTCAAATGATTAAAATAATGAATCGAGTTAATGGCGATTTGCTCATATGTTGCCCTAAATAAATATGTTTCTATTTAAAAAGCATTGAGTTACAGGCATACTTTGATTGTAAGGGAAAGAAACACAACATAATCTGTATCAGAATGTTTTTAATGGCACTATAAACAACACAAAAGTCACCGTAACATACAGCTATTAATGCTCCCAATGTTTAAGTAGGCCTACTCCCTCTTATCAATGTTCTTGAAGTTTAACACTTGCGCACAGCACACACACAGACACACACACACAAATACAGTATGCACACGAATCCGTGGCAGAAAAAATATATATAGCTCTGGTAATATTGGGCATAACTTTTACTTGATTTTGGCTAGAGGCACACGGTCTTCATCTATTTTAATGCACAAGCATTGACTGTAGCTGTGTTCCATGTTGTGTTCTGTGTTTAAAAGGTCTGTTACGGAAACGTGCTCTTAAAAGTTTCCGTGCGGTGAAGAAATGGAGACGCGATTAACGGCGTAAAAACAATGTACGGCGATAAACATGTCGCATAAAACACGTTATTAACGCGTTAACTTTGATAGTCCTAATGTAAAGACACCTTATTTGCTTTAAACCAGTCATCTAAATCTGTTTTATTATATATTTATTTTAACGATCAATTTCTGACCATCTTTATCAGACAGAAAAATGTTGGTGTCAACAGCAAACAATATAAAATGTACACAATCAAAATTGTAATTAACATAAATTTAAAAAAGCTATGAACACCGAAACTGTGCATGCATATGTATTCACCCCCTTTGCTATGAAGCCCCTAAATAAGATCTGGTGCAACCAATTACCTTCAGAAGTCACATAATTAGTTAAATAAAGTCCACCTGTGTGCAATCTAAGTGTCTCATGATCTGTCACAAGATCTCAGTATATATACACCTGTTCTGAAAGGACCCAGAGTCTGCAACACCACTAAGCAAGGGGCACCACCAAGCAAGCGGCACCATGAAGACCAAGGAGCTCTCCAAACAGGTCAGGGACAAAGTTGTGGAGAAGTACAGATCATCCCACGGAGCACCATTAAATCCATTATTAAAAAAATGGAAAGAATATGGCACCACAACAAACCTGCCAAGCGAGGGCCTCCCACCAAAACTCATGGACCAGGCAAGGAGGGCATTAATCAGAGTGGCAACAAAGATAACATTTACATTAACATTTACGTCATTTAGCAGACACTCTTATCCAGAGCGACTTACAAATTGGTGCATTCACCTTATAGCCAGTGGGATAACCACTTTACAATATATAAATTATTTATTTTTTTGGCGGGGGGGGGGGGGGGGGGGGGGGAAAAAAGGATTACTTTATCCTATCCCAGGTATTCCTTAAAGAGGTGGGGTTTCAAGTGACTCCGGAAGGTGGTGAGTGACTCCGCTGTCCTGGCGTCGTGAGGGAGCTTGTTCCACCATTGGGGTGCCAGAGCAGCGAACAGTTTTGACTGGGCTGAGCGGGAACTGTGCTTCCGCAGAGGTAGGGGGGCCAGCAGGCCAGAGGTGGATGAACGCAATGCCCTCGTTTGGATGTAGGGACTGATCAGAGCCTGAAGGTACGGAGGTGCCGTTCCCCTCACAGCTCCGTAGGCAAGCACCATGGTCTTGTAGCAGATGTGAGCTTCAACTGGAAGCCAGTGGAGTGTGCGGAGGAGCGGGGTGACGTGAGAGAACTTGGGAAGGTTGAACACCAGACGGGCTGCGGCATTCTGGATGAGTTGTAGGGGTTTAATGGCACAGGCAGGGAGCCCAGCCAACAGCGAGTTGCAGTAATCCAGACGGGAGATGACAAGTGCCTGGATTAGGACCTGTGCCGCTTCCTGTGTAAGGCAGGGTCGTACTCTCCGAATGTTGTAGAGCATGAACCTACAGGATCGGGTCACCGCCTTGATGTTAGCGGAGAACGACAGGGTGTTGTCCAGGGTCACGCCAAAGCTCTTTGCACTCTGGGAGGAGGACACAACAGAGTTGTCAACCGTGATGGTGAGATCATGGAGCGGGCAGTCCTTCCCCGGGAGGAAGAGCAGCTCCGTCTTGCCGAGGTTCAGCTTGAGGTGGTGATCCGTCATCCACACTGATATGTCTGCCAGACATGCAGAGATGCGATTCGCCACCTGGTTATCAGAAGGGGGAAAGGAGAAGATTAGTTGTGTGTCATCTGCGTAGCAATGATAGGAGAGGCCATGTGAGGATATGACAGAGCCAAGTGACTTGGTATATAGCAAGAATAGGAGAGGGCCTAGAACTGAGCCCTGGGGGACACCAGGGTGAGAGCACGTGGTGCGGAGACAGATTCTCGCCATGCCACTTGGTAGGAGCGACCTGTCAGGTAGGACGCAATCCAAGAGTGAGCCGTGCCGGAGATGCCCAGCTCGGAGAGGGTGGAGAGGAGGATCTGATGGTTCACAGTATCAAAGGCAGCAGACAGGTCTAGAAGGACAAGAGCAGAGGAGAGAGAGTTAGCTTTAGCAGTGCGGAGAGCCTCTGTGACACAGAGAAGAGCAGTCTCAGTTGAATGACCAGTCTTGAAACCTGACTGGTTTGGATCAAGAAGGTCATTCTGAGAGAGATAGCAAGAGAGTTGGCTAAAGACGGCATGCTCAAGAGTTTTGGAGAGAAAAGAAGGGATACTGGTCTGTAGTTGTTGACATCGGAGGGATCGAGTGTAGGTTGAAGACGGAAGGGACATAGCCAGCGGTCAAGGATGAGTTGATGAGCGAGGTGAGGTAAGGGAGAAGGTCTCCGGAAATGGTCTGGAGAAGAGAGGAGGGGATAGGGTCAAGCGGGCAGGTTGTTTGGCGGCCGGCCGTCACAAGTCGCAAGATTTTATCTGGAGAGAGAGGGGAGAAAGAAGTCAAAGCATAGGGTAGGGCAGTGTGAGCAGGACCAGCAGTATCATTTGACTTAACAAACGAGGATCGGATGTCGTCAACCTTCTTTTTAAAATGGTCATCCACAGAGTCATCCACAGAGAGGGAGGAGGGGGGGGGGGGGGATTCAGCAGGGAGGGAGGAGAAGGTGGCAAAGAACTTCCTAGGTTTAGAGGCAGATGCTTGGAATTTAGAGTGGTTTAAAGTGGCTTTAGCAGCAGAAACAGATGAAGAAAATGTAGAGAGGAGGGAGTGAAAAGATGGCCAGGTCCGCAGGGAGTCTAGTTTTCCTCCATTTCCGCTCGGCTGCCCGGAGCCCTGTTCTGTGAGCTCGCAATGAGTCGTCAAGCCACGGAGCAGGAGGGGAGGACCGAGCCGGCCGGGAGGATAGGGGACATAGAGAGTCAAAGGATGCAGAAAGGGAGGAGAGGAGGGTTGAGGAGGCAGAATCAGGAGATTGGAGGGAGAAGGATTGAGCAGAGGGAAGAGATGATAGGATGGAAGAGGAGAGAGTAGTGGGAGAGAGAGAGCGAAGGTTGCGACGGCGCATTACCATCTGAGTAGAGGCAGAGTGAGTAGTGTTGGAGGAGAGCGAGAGAGAAAAGGATACAAAGTAGTGGTCGGAGACATGGAGGGGAGTTACAGTGAGATTAGTAAAAGAACAGCATCTAGTAAAGATGAGGTCAAGCGTATTGCCTGCCTTGTGAGTAGGGGGGGACGGTGAGAGGGTGAGGTCAAAAGAGGAGAGGAATGGAAAGAAGGAGGCAGAGAGAAATGAGTCAAAGGTAGACGTAGGGAGGTTAAAGTCACCCAGAACTGTGAGGGGTGAAACATCCTCAGGAAAGGAACTTATCAAGGCGTCAAGCTCATTGATGAACTCTCCAAGGGAACCTGGAGGGCGATAAATTATAAGGATGTTAAGCTTGAATGGGCTAGTGACTGTGACAGCATGGAATTCAAATGAGGAGATAGACAGATGGGTCAGGGGAAAAAGAGAGAATGTCAACTCGGGAGATATGAGGATTCCTGTGCCACCACCCCGCTGACCAGATGCTCTCGGGGTATGCGAGAACACATGGTCAGACGAGGAGACCATGTCTCCAATCTCCACAGCGGAGATTGGAGTATCTGTCCATAGGACCACTTTAAGCCATACACTCCACAGAGCTGGGCTTTACGGAAGAGTGGCCAGAAAAAAGCCATTGCTTAAAGAAAAAAATAAGCAAACACGTTTGGTGTTTGCCAAAAGCCATGTGGGAGATTCCCCAAACCTATGGAAGAAGGTACTCCTGTAGTTCGTCTCCCGAGTGGCGCAGTGGTCTAAGGCACTGCATTGCAGTGCTAGCTGTGCCACTAGAGATCCTGGTTTGAATCCAGGCTCTGTCGTAGCTGGCCGCGACCGGGAGACCCATGGGGCGGCGCACAATTGGCCCAGCGTCGTCTAGGGTATGGGGAGGGAATGGCCGGCAGGGGATGTAGCTCAGTTGGTAGAGCATGGCGTTTGCAACGCCAGGGTTGTGGGTTCGATTCCCACGGGGGGTATGATTTTTTTTTTTTTATATATATATATATATAACAATAATGTATGCACTCACTAACTGTAAGTCGCTCTGGATAAGAGCGTCTGCTAAATGACGTAAATGTAAATGTAAATGTACTCTGGTCAGATGAGACTAAAATTGTGCTTTTTGGCCATCAAGGAAAACGCTATGTCTGGCGCAAACCCAACACCTCTCATCACCCCGAGAACACCATCCCCACAGTGAAGCATGGTGGTGGCAGCATCATGCTTTGGGGATGTTTTTCATCTGCAGGGACTGGGAACTTGTCAGAATTGAAGGAATGATGGATGGCGCTAAATACAGTGAAATTCTTGAAGGAAACCTGTTTCAGTCTTCCAGAGATTTGAGACTGTGACGGAGGTTCACCTTCCAGCAGGAGAATGACCCTAAGCATACTGCTAAAGCAACACTCGAGTGGTTTAAGGGGAAACATTTAAATGTCTTGGAATGGCCTAGTCAAAGCCCAGACCTCAATCCAATTGAGAATATGTGGTATGACTTAAAGATTGCTATACACCAGCAGAACCCATCCAACTTGAAGGAGCTGGAGCAGTTTTGCCATGAAGAATGGGCAAAAATCCCAGTGGCTAGATGTGCCAAGCTTATAGAGACATACCCCAAGAGACTTGCAGCTGTAATTGCTGCAAAAGGTGGCTCTACAAAGTATTGAGTTTGGGGGGGTGAATATTTATGCACGCTCAAGTTTTCAGTTTTTTTGTCTTATTTCTTGTTTGTTTCACCCCAAAAAATATTTTGCATCTTCAAAGTGGTAGGCATGTTGTGTAAATCAAATGATACAAACCCATTTTAATTCCAGGTTGTAAGGCAACAAAATAGGAAAAATGCCAAGGGGGGTGAATACTTTCGCAAGCCACTGGAGCTCCTAAACCAGTTGAGGTCTCTATTTCGAAGGCCATAAGTTTGTAATTTATGCAAAAAACAATTGTGCTCAACGGTACCGAAGGCTTTTGAAAGGTCAGTACTTACTTACTTAGTTACTTATGTGTGTGTGTATTTATTTATCTGTGAGTGACTCAGCCAGTGGGAAGAGTCTGGGAGTGTAGCTGGTCTTGTGTTGAGTTGGAGCGCATCTGCTTTGCTGACACTGTCTGTCTGTGCAGAGAGACTCTCTCTTCCAGTAATTGGCCCAAAGTCAGATGAGTAATGGCCCTTGACCACAGCAGTCATAACTCTACTCCCTGGCCTTCAGATCTGTACAGTCACCACAGTGAGCAGTATAGTACCCCCACTGAGACAGACAGGACCAGGCATTACTCATGTCCACCATCCTATCCTACTAGCATGGGGTTTTGTGTGTCTTAAGAAAACGTATACAGTGTCTATTCATACCCCTGACTTATTTCACATTTTGTTGTGTTCTCACGCATCTACACACAATACCCCATAATGACAAAGTGAAAACAAATGTATAAGTATTCACACCCCTGAGTTGATACTTTGTAGAAGCACCTTTGCCGGCGATTACAGCTTTGAGTCGTTTTGGGTATGTTTGTATCAGCTTTGCACATCTGGATTTGTGGATTTTCTCCCATTCTTCCTTGCAGATTTTCTCAATCTCTGTTAAGTTAGATGGGGAGCAGCGGTGAACAGCAATCTTTACGTTTTTCCACAGATTTTCCATGGGATTCAAGTCTGGGCTTTGGCTGGGCCACTCAAGGACTTTCACATTCTTGTTCTAAAGCCATTCCAGCATTGCTTTGGCTATATGCTTGGGGTCATTGTCCTGTTGGATCGTAAATCTTCGCCCCCAGTCTAAGGTTGTTTGCACTCTGAAGCAGGTTCTCATCAAGGATTTGTCTGTATTTGGCTCCATTAATTGTTCTCTCTATCCCCCGACATCAAACCAATTGAGATGGTTTGGGATGAGTCGGACGGCAGAGTGAAGGAAAAGCAGCCAACAAGTGCTCAGCATATGTGGGAACTCCTTCAAGACTGTTGGAAAAGCATTCCAGGTGAAGCTGGTTGAGAGAATGCCAAGAGTGTGCAAAGCTGTCATCAAGGCAAAGGGTGGCTATTCGAAGAATCTCAAATATGAAATATATTTTGATTTGTTTAACACTTTTTTGGTTACTACATGATTCCATATCTGTTATTTCATAGTTTTGATGTCTTCACTATAAAATAAAGAAAATCCTTGAATGAGTAGGTGTGTCCAAACTTTTGACTGGTAGTGTATGTAAATTAGATATTTCTGTATATCATTTTTTTATCAATTTGCAAACATTTCAGAAAACATGCTTTGACTTTGTCATGATGGGGTGTGTAGATGGGTGAGAATTAAAAAAATAATCAATTTTGAATTCTGGCTGTAACAGAACAAGATGTGGAATAAATCAAGGGGTATGAATAATTTCTGAAAGTACTCTCTCTTTCTCGCTCACACTCTCTATCCCCCAATCCTCTCCCCTCTCTCTTCAGGATTGTGGTGAATGTGAGCGGAGCTCCCGTCCTGTGGCGTGTTGGAGAGGATGGCTTCCAGCATTCCTCCTTGGTGGAGGGGACCATCATGTGGTTCCAGCAGGCCTCTGATGGACTGGTGGTCCCTGACCACTCCCTCCCCCTGGGACACAATTACTACCTCAGTAAGTAGGAAGTACTTCCACAACTACAATAATATTGCACAAAAAAATTAAAATGGAGTCGGGGAGGTGGGGAGGTGTTTTTTTAATTTTAGGTGGAGTGGGAAATATGGTTTCCGGGTGTGGAGGGAGGATGCGGGCGGGTGGAGACTGGGGTGAGAGGGGGGATGGGTTGGGGTTATCTTTGTATGCATTTCTTTGATAGTTTTTGTACCTCAACCCCCCCCCCCCAAAAAAAAAACAACAATAAAAAACAAATACATAACTAAATAAAAAGTTGGTCACAAAAAAGAAATAGATGTTCTTCTCTCCTCCTGTCCATCTTGTGGGAAACCTAGACACATGTAGCAAGCACTTGTATACCTATCACTGGTGCATATGTTTTTGGTTAGAGATTACAATCTCCTAAGAAATGAATCCAGTAGCACATCTCATGATATAGTGCATAAGACACAACTACTTCCTCAGTAAGGCCCCTCCTCCATCTCAATTTACTTACTTACGTAATCCTATTTGTTCCTGTGTGGAACAGAAGGTTTTCCCCCACTTTAATACAACTGTTGAAAACCATATGGAGGAATATAGGTTACTCTATTCTGTCTGTCCATTTGGTGGTAAACATATATATGCTTTGGCGCTATCACTTCCATACTTCCAAACCTGTCATTGGTGCATTCTGTATTTTGGGTTAGAGATGGATCTTCAACTCCAAGGGAATGGATCATTGCATAGCACATATAGTGATAAAAGTGCATATTATACATATTTATATTTAGAAGATACTTGTAGTTTATTGGTAAAAGGTATCTCAAAGTCAGAGACATACACACCTAATCAAACAAGCCCATTGGGGGATAGGATAGAATGGTATTCCATCATGTTTTCAATATTAACATTCACATTCTCTGCAGTGTTCTGAGTTGTCTGGATCAGTAATTTGCATGAAAGGTCAATCAAGAACACAATATCCATAAAATCCATAAACAGTATGATAATGTCTCATTTGAATGGGGCTGGCGCACATAAACACTTGGCTCTGGAATTCAGTTTTGTTATCTTTCTGCATATTTTATCGCTAAGTCTTTCTATTTTCAATAAGGAATGTTACAGTAACGTACGTCTGAAGGTTCGGTAGATTCCAGCAGGTTTGGCGTCATGTTTGGTGTCCTGCCCTTTAGTGAATTGTCTACTTGACCCCTGTGCGTGGTTTCCATACCAACACTGCTGTGTTACGTCTCAGCCTGTCTGTCCACTGACCTTGAGCTGGCTGGAGACACTCCGCCTGAGATCCTGCGGCTCTGTCTGAGGAGATGGTGTTTGTGGGGGGCAAGACCAAGAGAGCGAAGGGGAGAGGGGGATGAGAGGAAACAGGAGAGGGATAGGGGAGATACAGAGGGGGGAGAGGGCGAGTGAGAGATGGGAGAGAGGAGAGAGAATTAAAGAGAGAGAGAGAGAAAGAGTTGTTTTTCTGTCATCGTGTTTGGTTGTTTACCGCTCAAAGACTCTGGATAATAAATGAGTCACGTCCGTGAGAGCAAGACTGCTGTGTGTGTGTGTGTGTGTGTGTGTGCTTGTGTGCATCCCACATAATCTGCCTCACATGCAAAAACATGCAGTACACAGTTCCCACACGAACGTACATGAGACAGATAGTGTGAATGAAATACTGATGGTGGCATACAGAGTAGACTGTGAAATATACATACAGTATATATGATTCAACGCACAATTGTAAGGCAACCAGCTGCAATAGGAGTAATTTTGTTGCACAAACTCACAATTCTATTAAATCTTTTTTTTTACAGTGTGCACGTTTAATGCTGCGTTTAGACAGGCAGACCAAATCGGATCTTTTTTTCACTAATTGGTCTTTTGACCAATCAGTTCAGCACTGAAAAAGATCTGATGTGAAAAGATCTGATGTGATTGGTCAAAAGACCAATTAGTAAAAAAAAGATCAGAATTGGGCTGCCTGTCTAAAAGCAGCGTGTGTGTGTGTGTGCATGCGAGTGCTGCATCAGAGAGGAGCAGTGACTGTGCATTTGTGAGCTTGTGTTGTGAGGAACAGACGTCATTGGGCTGACCTAACCAGAAAATGGTGAGGTGTTAGGGGACCAGCTTTTACAGACTCCTGATTGGCTGCAGGGCTTTGCTGTGGCAATGACTTATCCTGGCTGTGCGCACGCCTCATTGGCTCAGAGCAGGTTCCTAATAATGGCTGTTAATCTTCACTTTGAGGCTATTTTTAAACGGATGCTTCTGTTTTGATTCATATTTGCTCACATGGCCTTTTCTTCAACATTTCTCTAATAGTTGGTCGCCGGGGAATACATTTATCTTTTGCAGTGGCAGCTAGAGGTGTCTTATCCAAGCAATGATCCATATGCAACCCCTCCTAGAACATTTGTCAAACATAAGGTGTTCTGGTCAATGTTACACACGATGATGTTAATCTTCTGTTAGTTTGACCATAATCTTCTTTGTAAAGGACCATTAATTCTCTCTGCACCTTATCTTAACACAATTCCTAGCCTCTGTACCTAAGTCCTTGTCGACCCCCCCCTGTTTTTTGAATGATCTTGTTTTTTTCTCTCTCCCGTTGTAGGTGTGTTGCGCGTGGGGGACGCCCCCAGTGGCTCGGAGGTCACCCTGCGTCTCAATCTGACAGTGAAGGCCAGCAGCTGTGTGGAGCCTGGCAGCCGCTTCAGCGACCCACAATGCTCTGGGAAGGGGAAGTGCATCACTCAGCCCTCTGTGGTAAGAGGTCAGGGGTCAGATATGTGATGTCACCTGCCCTTGAGTTGGTGAATCAGTCCCTTGTCTTTGGGCTTGATCCTGTGAACAATATTTCAAGGCTTAACATATCACTTTCAATATTCAGAAAACAGTTTCCCCTCAATATACTAGAAGGTAATTGGTGTAATTAAGCAGAATATTGTAAGATTGCGACACTATTGTCTTGATGATACACTATGCGGTAACATGGCAACAGGAGACTGAGAGAAGAAAAAGATAAGCAAAACAGAATAAAGACCAGGCCTTATTGCCATGGGAACAGAGAAAGGCATACATGTATTGTGGGATGGAGAGTTCTTAAGTCCTGCATCCCTACTACTCCCTGGGGCTCCCACTCTCCCTAGGTCCCTAGGGGCATTACTGTTAGCAGACTGATCACTGCTGCAGAGAGGAGTAGAGAGAGGAAATGGAGAGAACAGAAGTGAAGAGTGGGAGAAAATAAAAGAAAGGGAGAGGAGGGAAGGGAGGGAGAGGAGAGGGGAGAGAGGAGACGTGTGCTAGACTGAGGGCCTGCTAACTCTTTCCCTCCCCCCTACAGGTGCATTGTTAGAGGGTGATTTAGCACACCTCACTATGGGGAGCTGGGAGGAAAAGGGCATCGGTGGGGTGTAGAGGACTAACAATAGAGAATCCCAGGGTTGTAAATCTCAATAGAGTCCCATGTAGCCCCAGTAACCAGAACCATCCCAGTGATAGATGGTGTTGAGCATTATGCTCAGAATGTTCCACAATGTTATCTGACCACTAAGTTTCATCAGTTTGTCTTCTCATAACATGAACCACTCGGTATCTCTAATCACTTGTCACATATAAGGCCATGAGTTTGTCCTGGTCAGGTCATGTGGTTGGGAGAAACTCATGGCTCTAGTTTTGAGACCTATGTGACAGTTTTGAGTCAGTATGTGACAGTGACCCTGTGACCCCTCTGACCTCCAGAGCACCTTCTTCTGTGAGTGTGAGGATGGGTACTCTGGGATCTTCTGTGAGGAGTTTGATGCCTGCCATCTCAGGCCATGCCAGAACTACGCCATCTGTAGTGACCTGAGGCAGGGGGACGAGGGCCGCAACTTCACTTGTATCTGCCCTCCAGGTAACTACTGTGTGTGTGTGTGTGTGTGTGTGTGTGTGTGTGTGTGTGTGTGTGTGTACATGCGTATGTGCGTGCATCACAGGAGGACGACTCATAATAATGGCCAGAACGGTACAAATGAAATGGCATCAAACACTTGGAAACCATGGAAACCATGTGTTTGATGTATTTGACACCATTCCACCTATTCCGCTCCAGTCATTACAAGCCCGTTCTCCCCAATGAAGGTGCTGCCAACCTCCTGTGGAGTGCATGCCTGCGTGTGTGTAAGTGTCTCCAAATGAAATAGGGAACGCAGAGAAGAATGCACCCTTTCAACTTGTCAATTAGATATATTCGGGGCCCAGACCAGTGAGGGCAGCTCTGATTCACCTGAGATGTAAATTACCTTGTTATAGAAGCAGAGGCTGTTGTTGATGGCCAGCCACATCTTATTAGAGAAGGGTGATTACAGGACTGTGGTGGTATGTCTGCCTGCCTGACAGACTGAGGGCAGTGGGTTCTCACAGGCTCATCCAGAGCAATGTGGAGGCCGCACTACATGATTGATGTGGATGGGTAGTAAGGTTGGAGGGGAAGTGTGAGACGTAGGGTGGTCTGTGTCAAGTGTGTGTGTGTGTGTGTGTGATGCGTGCGTGCGTGCATGCGCTTTTCTGTGTGCGTGTGCGTGCTTGTTATAGCGGTAGTTGGATGGTTTGCATGTCAGTGCGTTAGAGTTGCGTGTGTTTTTATTTGGCTCCTGCGTGTGTTCAGGTTTAATGCTATGTGACACTGTGTTTCGCCTGTGTGCTCCAGGGTTCGAGGGTGATCTTTGCCAGTTGCAGGTGGACCACTGCCTGTCTCAGCCCTGCAGGAACGGGGCTACCTGCTCCAGCAGCCTGGCCGGACCCAGGTGTTACTGCTCTGAGGGTAGTATGTAGCCCAGTATCAATAGCATAGCAATACAGTACAGAACAACTCTTGCCATAACATAACATGCACAGATCTACAGCAATGCACAAAACATGGATGTACTGCACAATACCATGTTGTTAATCAGTTTTATTTTCAGATCTTCATTAGCTGGTTGTGTGTGTGTGTGTGTGTGTGTGTGTGTGTGTGTGTGTGTGTGTGTGTGTGTGTGTTGGACTGTCCTGGTTCTGGGTCTAGGCGTGTGTCTGGTGTTCTTGTGTGCATGCGTGGTGTGTATGTTTGTCAGTGTGTGTGTATGTGTGTCAGTGTGTGTGTATGTGTGTCAGTGAGTGTGCGTCTGAATGTGTGTGTGAGGCTATCCTAGTTCCGCTGCCGTTAGTTTCTGTGTCTGCTCTGTGTTTATCTGTGCCAGCCCGTTGCTTAATTTAAACTTTCCTCCGCTCCTCTAATTAGTCCTCCTGGCCCTAATGGCCCGCTCTCAGACCCACATGGGAAATCTACGCTAGCCCGCTAAAACTAAATTCTGCCAAACACAGCACTCCTAAATAAGGGGATGCCAATCCATGCTTTTTTATGTATACAAACACACGCACACACGCACGCACACGCACACACAAATGCACATGCACACACACACACACACACACACACACAGACACCCCCATGCAAAACCATCCCGGAATAATCCTCTTCGAACACATCAATACAACAACAGAGGTATGAATGTACAACCTGATCCAGAAAATATGGTACATTGCAGGTACAATTCCCTGCGGTCACTGAGTTCTGATTCACAGTCCTGCTAACAATGCAACTCTGATTAAATTATTCATCTTACACTGTTGGACGAGCGCCAACGCTGACCAGAATTTTAAATCCATCCAGAGCAGTTTTTTTCCTTTGGTTGTTTTCACAGAGAGATCGTGGTTATGGTGCAACAATGGGGGCGGAAACTGCTTCAGCACTTTTAATTAGTGCGACAAGGAGATGTGCGTGTTTGTGCGTGCGTGTGTCTGAGAGAGAGCCTCTAAATATTTAACAGGCTTGTTAGGTAATCCTGCCGTTTGAAGCCTTTCTACTGGGTTTCATGGCAATTAGCCAATCACATTCTCCAGTGAGCATGTGACTGCAGGTCAACACAATCAGCCAGTGGAGGGTGATGAGGAGGCACCTCTCACCTCTACCTCTGTTTATACACAAATACACTGGGAGTGGGAGCAGACGGCTCCACACTGCAGACTCCTGTCCACCTGATTCCCATGCAGTCGGGAGAGACTGAGCAGGAGAGCCGTAAAGAATGTGTTAGGGTTCATGGTTGTTGTTGTTTTCTTGTTGTTTTCTTGCAGGTGAATGTGACGGCAGAAGTAGATCAGAGTTGTATTCTACAAAGCAGGATTATGGAGTTAGCGAGCTAACTTATTTTGTAGAAAGATAAGCTTGAAATGGGCATGGTCTAATTGATTTAACAAACGAATATAGACATATCTAAGTTTAGCTTTTTTAATGAAATCAGTAGTTATTTCTGGTTGCTTATCAAAGTTAGCTGGCTAACTCATTGATCCTGCGTTGTAGCATACCCCTCAGTACTAGGTACAGAGAGGTTGTGGTGTATGGCATTTTCTTGTATAACACAGCAGAAGCAGTGTCTTCCATGAGGAAAACACACTTTTCTTTACCTCTAGACTGTTTCTTTTTGGACTAGACTGTCTCTCTTCTTTATTTGGTGAAGAAGTGTGAAAAGTATCTTTACATTAGCTCCTCTCTTTTAACTATCACTCTCTCTGGAGACATTCTCCCAATCACACACACACACAGAGAAACCTATTTCTGTCAGCTGTTCCCAGTGTTGTATCACTGCCTACCCACACACACATAAATCAAACCAAGTTTACTTAGCACAGATCCTCTCGGCGGAAGTTATCATGCTGTGCATAAAACAAAGTGATGGACGACAGCAGATGATAACAATAGCAGAGGCAATCATAGCAGAATCACGGCTCATGATCACCAAATGCCACTGCTGTAGGCAAACATCTGCAGTTTTTCCTATGTCTATGAGCAGGTGAATAGTATTAGTTTGATGGCATAGCAGTATCATAAATATTACACAAGTCTGGTTATTAGGTGTCATGTCCATTCATGACCACTCATGTCAGATGACATACTGCCTATGAGCCCTGGTCAAAAGTAGTGCACTTTATAGGAAATCAATAAGATCTCACAGTTTTACCAATTTGACTTCAGATTCCGACTTTTATCCACGTTTCTCCAAATGTTTTTTTATATATATTTTATCCAAATTTATCCAAATTTTTTTTATATATATTTTTTATTTCACCTTTATTTAACCAGGTAAGCCAGTTGAGAACAAGTTCTCATTTACAACTGCGACCTGGCCAAGATAAAGCAAAGCAGTGCGATAAAAACAACAACACAGAGTTACATATGGGGTAAAAAAAACATAAGGTCATAAAATACAACAGAAAATATATATACAGTGTGTGCAAATGTAGCAAGTTATGGAGGTAAGGCAATAAATAGGCTATAGTGCAAAATAATTACAATTAGTATTAACACTGGAATGCTAGATGTGCAAGAGATTATGTGCAAATAGAGATACTGGGGTGCAAAAGAGCAAAATAAATAACAATATAGGGATGAGGTAGTTGGGTGGGCTAATTTCAGATGGGCTGTGTACATGTGCAGTGATCGGTAAGGTGCTCTGACAACTGATGCTTAAAGTTAGTGAGGGGGATAAGAGTCTCCAGCTTCAGAGATTTTTGCAATTCGTTCCAGTCATTGGCAGCAGAGAACTGGAAGGAATGGCGGCCAAAGGAGGTGTTGGCTTTGGGAATGACCAGTGAGATATACCTGCTGGAGCGCAGACTACGGGTGGGTGCTGCTATGGTGACCAATGAGCTAAGATAAGGCGGGGATTTGCCTAGCAGTGATTTATAGATGGCCTGGAGCCAGTGGGTTTGACGACGAACATGTAGTGAGGACCAGCCAACAAGAGCGTACAGGTCACAGTGGTGGGTAGTGTATGGGGCTTTGGAGACAAAACTAATTTAAGAAAATAAGGGTTGGGATAGGGTTAAAACATTAAGTTTAGGCATTCATTACGAATTATTAAGTTACGGGTTAAGGATTGGGATAGGGTTAAAACCAAAAGCGAGTTTTGAAGACATTTCCTGACATCCTCAGGACATGGACAGATGTCCAATTTCGAAGTCAATCTTGAGCGATTTGCCTGAGGGAATATGGGTACCATTTCAGCCACAGCCAGAGTCTCTAGAGGAGGCTGCTCCCAGCAGTCCTCCTAGCTCTGTGTCTGTCCTCTGAGGTCTCTCTCTCTCAGCTCTGGGACTGCCACTGTCTCCAGTGAGGAACAGGAGGGGTGGGGGCGCTATATTTAGACTCTTAACTCGCTCTACAGTATTAGCAAGTAGAAGTGATAGAGCAGCTCTGCAAAAGCTGCTTTCCTTTCATATCAGAGCTCCCCTGGAAATCTGTTTAAGTGTGTAGGCTTGGTAAAGTGTGTGGTGGTGGTGGTGGGGGGGGGGGGTTCCTCTGTATGCATGTGCGTGCATGTGTGTGTGTCTTTACCATGCCTGCTGACCCATACCCCCTGTGTCATAATGAATTATGAGCTTGGTCTTGGGGAGAGTTGTCAGCATGATCAGAGGCGAGGAGAGAGAGAAAGACTATTTGCACATAATACGACATTTGAAATGTCTTTATTCTTTTGGAACTTTTGTGAATGTAATGTTTACTGTTAATTTTTTATTATTTTGTTTATTATCTACTTCGCTTGCTTTGGCAATGTTAACATATGTTTTCCATGCCAATAAAGCCCTTTAAATTGAGAGAGAGAGGAGAGAGGAGAGAGAGAGAGGGAGGAGCGGAGAGAGATAGAGAGAGAGACGATGAGAGAGGAGAGAGAGAGAGAGAGGAGAGAGAGAGAGAGAGAGAGGAGAGAGAGAGAGAGAGAGAGACACCTCATGTGCAGATACACTCAGCCAGTCTCCCTGACAACACTGCCCAAGGCAAACGCACACAGCAGGGTGTGAAAGTGCAGACTTCTACAGAGATAAAGGAATAGAGCTGTGATTTTCTTCCCTTCCTATCACATTGACCTCTCTCTTGTCTTTACCTCTTGTCATGTCTCCTTTTCTACTACATCTGAGATAATGTGCGATTGTGTGTGTTACTTCTCCACTCAACAAGATCTCACTGCCTCACTTCAGTATCCAACGTTTGTCCAGGGGGTTGAGGTTTGGGTTAAAACAGAAAAAATAAGAATGGGTGCCTAGCAATGGGATTGAACCCGCTGTAGAACGTGGTTTAAAGGTCAGGAACAGTCAATATCATGAAATGTTATGATTTTTGGATGATACCAAATCAAAGTATGATGGCCAAAGTATGAAAACTGACTGTTGCTTCTACATTGATACAGTTTGATCATAAAGTGACTGGTCCCCTCCCCCACGTCAAACACTTGGATTCAGGAGGCGGGATTATTAAGGGAATAGGGTGACCCTCTCATTTTAATATACCAATGTTAACATGATATTCTTTTACCTAAGCTTGACTGCCGTTTGACAAAAAAAAAAATTCTTGCTCTTATCCATAATAATCTCGTCATGTAGACTAGCCTACCCACACAGCCTACCCACACTGTAACTGCCAGCTGTTGGCTGGAGCACATGTGCCAAGACCAGAGAAGGCACATTTGCTATTTAAAGCAACAGTTTTTCGGACAAAACTATCGATAGAGTGGAAAATGCGATGGAAACACATTGAACTCTAGATTTTGATTCGGTACATGAAATCTTAAGTGAAACATTTATTTTTGTGTGCACTATGTCATCACGTGCTGATTTGGTGGAAACACACCACTGGTGGAAAAATTTGCATATTTTCTTTATGTGGATTTTGGAATATTCGCATGATAATCTGTCACCAATTGGATGGAAACCTAGCTATTGATGCAATTTCAATGTTGTTTGAGTTGCTTTGTGTGTCACTAAATTAGCTTGAGGTGGAATTTACTGCAACTGTGCTCACTGCATCCAGATTTCTTGACATAGGCGTTTAAAAGAGCTGTCAGTCAAGGCAAGCTCATGAATATAAGATCCCCGCCCACTCAGGGTGTCTTTTCAAACTTCCTGGTAGTTGGGCCATGAGAGAAAAAGTAATTATTCTCAAATTTTGAGTATTTCTATCGCCCCAAAATATTATGGATGATAAAAGGCTATTTTACATGGGACCTTTTTGTTCGTGACCTTTAAGCCCTTTCCTCTATCCCCATCCACAACGCCCTAGCAAGCCGTGAGCCTACTCGATGGTAATAAGTGCTCACGTTGCCTCTAGTGACTGGTATTGAAGGCATCTCCCGACGTCCTGGGCACCTGGACAAACGTCTAATACTGCAGCCTATCTGGTGTGACCTGGCTGCTCCACTAGCCTCCTGCATCCTGTTGCTCTTATGAGAAAGACTGATCATAAATTGAGGTCACCCTCAATCAAACCTCCACTTTGTCACACCTTCTGCAATCGCTGCCTCCATCTCTGCCACTCTCAAGGTGCCCCCTCCCCTCTTCCCTCCTCCCCTCTGTCCACCCTCCCCTCTGTCCTTCCTCCCTCCTCAGGAGAATGGTTCAATCACAAGCTGTTTTATCAGGATCATCGCCATGGTAGCGCAGAGAGGAGACTGACTGTAGTTTATTGTGTGTGTGTGTGTGATCATGTGTGAGCGTGTGTGAGCATGCCTATGTGAGTGTGTTTGTGTCAGCCTATGTGTGTGTGTTGGCCTGTGTGTGTGTGTGTGTGCGTGTGTGTGTGTGCGTGTGCGTGTGTGTTACACAGTCAATATAATCTAGGAGCATGTTGATTGCGTCAGTGTGTGTATTCCATCGGGCTAATGAAGAGAGGCTTTCAGGGTCTGCTGATTCATTTGTCCAGATGCAGGGAGGACTCTATATCACCCAGACTGATGGACATGTATTATCTCACTGCCACTGCAGAGAGGGAGGAATAATCTGCTGGAGTCAGTGGGTTTCTCTGTGGGCTTTCTTTCTTTCTTTCTCATCAATTATGCATGTATGAACTACACATCCAGCCCAAAGTGGGAGGTTTAAAAAAGATTTACTAGTTGCCAAAGTACCAGAACATGTCTTTAAGTATGTGCTTGCTGGCTTGTGTTGAATAACAGTGTCTGTTTGTTTGTATGTGTTTGTGTGTGGGCGGGGGATGTGGGACGGGTTTGTGTGTGTGTGTGTGTGTAGACAAAACAGATGCTGTAGGCTACATCCCAGTGAGTCCACAGAGCCGCCTCAACACCCACAATGCGGTCCTTCACACCCCCAGAACCCCACAGCATTCCTGCCACCAGACCAGATGCTCCCCACCCTCTTTCTTTCTTTCTTTCTTTCTTTCTTTCTTTCTTTCTTTCTTTCTTTCTTTCTTTCTTTCTTTCTTTCTTTCTTTCTTTCTTTCTTTCTTTCTTTCTTTCTTTTCTTTCTTTCTTTCTTTCTTTCTTTCTCTCTAATTTTATTTCCTTCATTCTCTCTCTTTCTGCTCTCTGTCATTCTCTCTCCCTATCTTTCTCTTTCTCTTTGTCTCACTCTCTCTCTCTCTCTTTCTCGCTCCTCTCTCTCACTCTCTTGTTCTCCCATCATCTCTCTCAGGGTATCAGGGCAGTATGTGTGATCAGAGGGTGGACCCATGTGCCTCCAGCCCCTGCCACAACAACGGGAGCTGCTTCCCCCAGGGTCCCGGCCTGGACTTCGGCTGCAGCTGTGCCGCCGGCTTCACCGGCCCGACCTGTGCCCAGCTGGTGGACTTCTGTGCCCTCAACCCCTGTGCCCACGGGATCTGCCGCAGTGTGGGGACCAGCTACAGGTGTCTGTGTGTCCCAGGTGAGCCATCCTGTGTTTGTGGGTGGGTGTGTCTGCGTGCGAGTGAGCGTGTGTGTGTTTGTATGGGGGCACAGGGGTTGCCCCCATACAAACACACTATAGATAAGCTGTAAGACTAACTAACAGATTGATTCTCCCACAATAAATCAGATATTACAGTGAACCTGCCACATATAATATACAGTGCATTACGAAAGTATTCAGACCCCTTCACTTTTTCCAAATTTTGTTACTTTGCAGCCTTATTAAAAAATTGATTGAATTGTCCCCCCCCCCATCAATCTACACACAATACTCCATAATGACAAAGCAAAAACAGTTTTCTTTTGAAAAAAATAAAAAAATAAAAAACATATATTTCATTTACATAAGTATTCAGACCCTTTACTGAAAACTTTGTTGAAGCACCTTTGGCAGCGATTACAGCCTCGAGTCTTCTTGGGTATGACGCTACAAGCTTGGCACACCTGTATTTGGGGAGTTTCTCCCATTCTTCTCTGCAGATCCTCTCAAGCTCTGTCAGGTTGGATGGGGAGTGTTGCTGCATAGCTATTTTCAGGTCTCTCCAGAGATGTTCGATCGGGTTCAAGTCCGGGCTCTGGCTGGGCCATTCAAGTGTAACGATCTTGGTTCGACAGACGCTGGGAGACGGGAAGCAAGTACAGGGTGATTATTTAATAAATAAAAGACATGGAACAAAACAGGGACAGTGTCTGGACAGGGGAAATGAAACAAAATCAATGCTGACACAAGGATCAAACAGAGGAACAGACAGATATAGGGGAGGTCAGTAAGCCGTGATGAAGTTCAGGTGAGTCCAATGAAGCGCTGATGCGCGTAACAATGGTGACAGGTGTGCGTAATGATGGGCAGCCTGGCACCCTCGAGTGCCAGGGAGGGGGAGCGGGAGCAGGCGTGACATCAAGGACATTCAGAGACTTGTCCCGAAGCCACTCCTGCATTGTCTTGGCTGTGTGCTTAGGGTTGTTGTCCTGTTGGAAGGTGAACCTTCGCCCCCGTCAGAGGTCCTGAGCACTCTGAAGCATGTTTTCATCAAGGATCTCTCTGTACTTTGCTCCGTTCATCTTTCCCTCGATCCTGACTAGTCTCCCAGTCCCTGCCGCTGAAAAACATCCCCACAGCATGATGCTACCACCATGCTTCACCGTAGGGATGGTGTTAGGTTTCCTCCAGATGTGACGCTTGGCATTCAGGCCAAAGAGTTCAATCTTGGTTTCATCAGACCAGAGAATCTTGTTTCTCATGGTCTGAGAGTCCTTTAGGTGCCTTTTGGCAAACTCCAAGCGGGCTGTCATGTGCCTTTTACTGAGGAGTGGCTTCCGTCTGGCCACTCTACCATAAAGGCCTGATTGGTGGAGTGCTTCAGAGATGGTTGTCCTTCTGGAAGGTTCTCCCATCTCCACAGAGAGGTTCCGGAAGACCTGCTGGAATAGTGCCTCAGCGACCTGGAGAGCGGTAGGTTGACCAGAGAGAGGGATGAAACGGCAGGATTTAGAGAATCTGTCAACAACAACCATAATGGTGGTAAAACCATCAGAAAGGGGGAGATCAGTTACGAAGTCTGTGGACAAGGCCGCTGAGGCACGGGAAGGGGAAGTAGTTTCCCTGCTGGAGCGTCCCAGGGAGATTTGGATTGGGCACATACGGATGGCCATCACGATGAGTGCGTCCAAGGATAGGTTGTCATCCTGACACGCCAACTCCGTCTGGACCTCGTTGCGCAGTCCTCTCCGGAATAGAGTGTGGAGCGCCGGCTCATTCCATCCGCTGGAGACTGCTACAGTCCGAAAGGTGAAGGCGTACTCCACAGCGATCTGGGCACCCTGCCCCCCTCTCTCTTGCTCACCTCCCTCTCTGCCCTCTGGAGAATGGTCGAAGACCACCCTGAACAGAGCCATGAACCTCTCATAGGAACCCAGCTTCTCCTCTCCTCTCTCCCAGACGGCCGTAGCCCACTCCAACGCCCACCCGGTCAGCAGGGAAATTACCGTGGCAACCTTGGACCTCTCGGTGGTGGGGGCTCCCGTCTGATGGGCAAAATAAAGGGAGCACTGGAGTAGGAAGCCACGGCATTTCGATGGAGTACTGTCATACTTCTCCGGAAGGGACAGTCAGGCGTCGCTGTCCTGGGCGGACGGCTGGGTAGGCTGGGGGACTGGCTCACTGTGACGACCCGTGGTAGGAGGCCCTCTGATAGGGGTATGGAGAGCCTCGCCTCGCTGGGTGTGTCGAGGCGGTAGAGAACGCGGAGGACCTCCTCCATGGCCGTACCCAGTTGCGCCAGCTGATCGTGGTGTTGGTGGAGTGTTCCTTGACCGTCTGGAAATGTGTTTTATCCTCTGCTGCTTCCATATTGCGTATTGTATTCTGTAACGAAATACGCCGGGAGTCAGGAAGCAGGTGCAGAAGGTGAGTTTAATAATGAAACGATGCAGATGAACAGAACATGAGAAGCGTACAGAACGTGAGAGAAAACAATACTACCTAGTGACTGCTGTCTACTGATGGCTAAATAAAGGGGGAGTAATTAAAGAGACAATGATGACCAGGTGTGCGTATTGATGGGGCGCAGGTGTGAGTAATGATGGGGCGTAGGTAATGATTGTTGCCAGGGCCGGTGGTTAGTAGACCGGCGAAGTCGAGCGCTGGAGAGAGGGAGCGGGAGCGGGAGTAGGCGTGACAAATCCATTTTAGAATAAGGCTGTAACTTAACAAAATGTGGAAAAAGTGAAGGGGTCTGAATACTTTCCGAATGCACTGTACAGCATCATAAATTAGCATTGTTACTACTCATCATTCCACAACCCATTCCCCACCCCAGTGATATAATTGATGCAGACACACAGTCGGTAATACGGTGACCATGACTGACGTGTCATTACAGGCTCATTGATCATGCCACTGGTTTTTGTGGTTCCATGCTCAGATTAATGGTGTGGAATCATGACAAATCATTATCCCTTATTCAGCAATTACCCAGCGGTGTAACCAGACCTGAGTTCAAATAGTATTCGAAATCATTTCAATTACTTTAGCTGGACTTGATTGCGCTTGCCTGGTACAAGGGAACCAATAGAATAGTCGCAAAATTGCAAACCCCACCCATTTGGCACTCCAGGCAGGCTAAACAAATGGTAGTAATATTGGAAAGATTTAAAATAGTATTTGAACCCAGGTCTGAGTGTGACTGCAGGACCCTATCAATAGAACCATCAACACAGTGTGACAGGCTGCTCCCCCTCCCTATCAGTCTGTCCTAGAGTTCCCTTTATATATCTTTCTTTCTTGCAGTTACATTTTGATTTAATTTGCAATCTTAGGTTGGGCGGGGAGTGAGATACACTCTAAATTAGTAATGGCTGTTTTACATTTTTTACAGAAACAACCCAATTCCACCATTTTAGATCACTTCACTTAAAATAGTTCCTTTGGTGACCAGACTATCGATTCAGACTGTCCTCTATTGTCCTCTGTAGCCAGGTACTTCTCACCGTGTTCATACTCTTATTAGTATATTCTTGTCTCATAATATTGCATTATGTTATTTGTTCTCTCATAGAAACAACCTCAGACCTTGCATTGGTACAGTATGTTCCTGTCACGCCCTGGCTCTGGGGACTCGTGTATGTTGAGCCAGGGTGTTAGTTTCTTTTTGTAGTGTCTATGTTTCGTTTTCTATGTTCTGTTCTAGGTTATGTGTTTCTATGTTGGCCGGGGTGGTTCTCAATCAGAGGCAACGAGAATCAGCTGTTGCTTGTTGTCTCTGATTGGGAACCATACTTAGGCAGCCTTTTGTGCACTTGTGATTCGTGGGATCTTGTTCCGTGTAGGTTTGTGCTTTGTTAACCGAGGACGTCACGTATCGTTTGTTGTGTTATTGTGTTGCTAAGTACTCTATTAAAGAAGATGTACGCATATCACGCTGCGCCTTGGTCCACTCATTATAACGATCGTGACAGTTCCTTCCCATGTACTGTATACTGACAGTATATTCACACATAATATCTATTTTCACCTTTCACTCTAACCTATTCTCTGTTACTCTCCATTGCTCTTCATCTCTTTCTCTCTGTCCTCCTCTCTTCTCTCTCTTTATTTCTCTTTCCTCACCTCATTTCCCTCTCCCCCTCCTCTGTCATCTGGTTGCCATGGTGACTGATTTTTATTAGGATCTCTTTTTATTAAGTGAGACAGGTGCTTTTCACTTCCTTCCAGACCATTGTATGTCTGCAGCCGTTGTCTGTCTACACAAGTTGGGCAGATGATGCCGTCCAATCACACATCTCCGTTCAGACAGCCCGCTTCTAATGGGAATGATGTGATTGGTGATTCGCAATCAGCATTCCAGATGATACGCTTAACACTCCACACCCAGACTCCACACACACACATGCAAGAAGGGACACACGCAACCAAAACACACGCACACACACACACGCAACCAAAACACACGCACACACATACACACATACAAACACACACACAAACGCAAACACACACACACACATACACAGACAGACACACACATCAGACTCGTTTAGGGAAATAATTGACCTTTTCTCCTGTTCATCAATATGCCAGCTGGTGTCTGCGTCCTCTACAAGGAGAGGAGGCTGTGAGGGAGCTGATATATACTCTAGTGGATCCTAGGCTCCCTGTATCCATATCAGACAGAGGAGAGTCAGACTAGCCAGAGGAAATGGGTCTGGGAGTCTGGGAAAGGCACTTGACATTTCACTGGCTTTTTATGAGAACCTCTGTGATTTATCAAGGCTTACTTTGTATGTAAATGTTTCTTCTCATGGTAAACGACAAACACATGAACACACCAGCAGACAGCCAGACACACACAGCCCGACACACACTCACACACACATTACACATACAGACATGTCTATACTCAGTACAATAGCTTCTGCTTGTAAGCTCTGAAGAAAGAACACAATGTCCTACATCAACTCTGAGATTCTGTTAATCACTGTGTTCTGACCTTGGGCTCATACTGCTTCTCTTTTATAGGAAAAAACATCAAGACCCACAGTTCTCAGTCCCAGTGCAAACCTGCCACCCAGTGGCAACTAGAGTGTACTGCATTTAATAGACCACTAACAGTCACGGCTGAATCTAGGCTTTATCGATGTAACCATAGAATTACATCTAGAATTAATTTAATAGGATGTCTGTGGATATAACATCCACAAGGTTTTGTCATAGTCATGTAGGGAAACAAATGCATTGACTTGTTCCGTCTAAGTGATAATCTCTATGTAGAAATAAAGGCACATTAAACTACTTTTAACTCACCCTTTAAAACCATCTCATAAAAAATATGATATGTGCTGAGGAGTGTACCACCGTGATCTTCTCGTTAGTGATATCTAAATGTAATCATTACTTTAACTGTCATCTAATATTATGATCAAAGACAGTGTGACTTAATGTGTGTGTGGTGTGTGTGGTGTGTGTGGTGTGTGTGTGTGTCTCCCAGGGTACCATGGTCTGTACTGTGAGGAGGAATACAACGAGTGTCTGTCAGCCCCCTGCCAGAACTACGCTACCTGCAGAGACCTCATCAATGCTTACGAATGTGTCTGCACTCCTCAGTATGAAGGTAGGTGTGTGTGTGTGTTGATTTTCATCCAATGTGACTGACAACTCAACGGGGACACTTTTACATATGTTATCCTGGGGTGGGCTTGTGTGATGATGCTGATACTGCAATATGTATGCTAATTCAATGAGTTTATACAACCTGTATCACAAATGTATCCATAAAAGGGATTGTATGTTGTCTACAGTATGTATTTGTGTAGTAGATTGCGAGAAAGTGTGCTGTGTTGGTGTAAACTGTCATATGTAAAGCAGACCTGGATTCAAATACTAGTTGTAATCATTTCAGATACTTATGCTGTGCTTGATTGAGCTTGTCTGTTGCAATGGAACCAATAGAAAAGTCCCAAAAGTGCAAACACAGCCCCCCTGGCACTCCAGACAGGCTTAAGCAAATGCTTAAAGAGTTTGGAATATTTCCAATGGTATTTGAACCCAGGTCTGTAGAGCGTACTGTGTGAGTGTCATTAACGGGCCATATGTGTGTGTGTCCCTGTGCAGGCAGACACTGTGAGATCTACACGGATCCTTGTCTGACGGCTCACTGTCAGAATGGTGGACGCTGTGAGAGTGTGGGCCTCAACGCCACCTGTGTCTGCCCACCTGGTTACCTGGGTGAGGATTTCAACTCTGTATGTGTGTGTTTTGTGTGTGCGTGCGTGCATGCGTCTGTGTGTGAATACATGTCTGTCACCCAGTCTATCATAATGGGCCTTGGAGACACAGGCTGTTCTGACTAGGGAGCAAACCCCCTCTGAACCTTTTGGAAATATAACTGTACCCGATGTTCCAGTTAAACATAATCCCCCCCCCCCCCCCCACCCCTACCGGTTCTCTCAGGGGAGGCCTGTGAGGTTGATGTTAACGAGTGTGAGAGCAACCCCTGTCATCACGGAGGAACCTGCATCGACCAATCAAATGCTTACACCTGCCACTGCCCCCCAGGCTGGATAGGGGCCAGCTGTGAGATACGTAAGTACATTACCCAGAATCCCCTGTTTGAAGGAGTAAATTATGAAATATAATTACATGCACATGCCTTTCTTAGGTTATTCATAACTGTCTGTCTGTCTGTCTGTCTGTCTCTCTGTCTCTCTCTCTCTCTCTCTCTCTCTCTCTCTCAGACTTGCAGTGGAAGACGGCCCACCCCGAGGACACCCTGACCAACATGCCGCGTCACTCCCTCTACATCATCATCGGCGCCCTGTGCGTGGCCTTCGTCCTCATGCTCATCATCCTCATCGTGGGCATCTGCCGCATCAGCCGCATCGAGTACCAGGGCTCGTCTCGCCATGCCTACCAGGAGTTTTACAACTGCCGCAGCATCGACAGCGAGTTCAGCAACGCCATCGCCTCCATCCGCCACGCCAGGTGAGACGGCACAAATCTCTCTGAACCAGTCACACCTCAGGGTAGACTTGCTTACTATAAGTATATAAGTGCCAGAACATTGTTGATATTTAATGTATTCATTTGATTCAGCCATTAGAAACACCTCCTGTTATAGCTTTACTGTTCACCGGAAGAGAAAGACCCATTCAAGTTTCAAGTTTTTAATGTCACATGCACAAGTACAGTGCAATGCCTTTCTTACAAACTCAAAACCCAACAATGCAATAATCAATAACAATGTAATACTAGAAAAAACACGAGATAAAGGCCCATTCCGGTAGATTTCAGGCCAAACTGGGAAGGTTGCCAGCACTAGGGTATACTCACCTGTAATACACTGTGGGGAAATGTGTAATACCTCTCTTACAACATCATATTCATATTACTCTGTTTGTAACATGTAACATCTCTTTTATAACACTACACTCACCTGTCACCTGTATTTCATTCTCAACCTAACAACTCTACACTTGAAACATTAAGAACTGTCTTGCAGGTAGCTAGCTGTCCTACCTGAAGTGATGTTCCATTTATGTGTTTTCTTCCTTCTCTCAGATTTGGGAAGAAGTCCCGGCCGGCCATGTACGACGCCGCACCCATCTCCTACGAGGACTACAGCCCTGATGACAAGCCCCTGGTCACTCTGATCAAAACAAAAGATTTGTAGAAAACACACCCACACACAGTATCACACATCACCTGTTCACACATACAACTGCACATGTTCGGATGTGCACCAATACACACAAACTCAGTCAATGCAGACCATTTAGTATTTCTTTAGATACAAATTTACAAAATAAATGTGAACAAAACAATAGTTCTGCGGGAAGAAAAATACACATCTGGAATTTGATAAATCTATTTTACGGTTGGAATATCCATAAAGATACTGTAGCATAAGAGCGTACCTTGCATAATTTTAGTAGGTGTTGGGTGACATTGCCATGTTGGTTGCTTCTTCTCTCCAGTAGAATGTGACTACATTACCCAGGATGCCATTGGGGTCCTAGAGGGGGCGGTTCCTGACATCCCCCACCAACCCATGAGCTCAGTTTAAAGTGTAGATTCAGCAGAGGCTGCTGATAGGAGTTCTTACAGGTGTGGTAGAAATAGGTGCACTTGTCATAGTGCAGTACGATATATATATCTTTCTATATTAAAAATCTGCAGTAGGTTGCCTTACTTGGTGCATGGGTAGATTCGATGGTTTCTGCATAATTTTGAAACCCTCCGTACATTGTGGTTGATTTACTGTATCTTTGCCAGGTTTGTGCCAAAATCGTCTCCTTCTTCAGGCGACAACGTGTGGTAGAGGTAGAACACGTATAAAACCACTTTGGGGGAAGCTTTAAAACAGTGTTTAAAAAAAACATTGGTTATCATGTTTTTGTTATTTACATGCAAGTTCTGTACAAATAAAGGAGGAGTAATAATTGTATTCACAGTGTTGTATGGTTTCCCTATTATGAGGACAGTGTTTTTCGCAGGAGTGGTCGGAGTAGCCAGTGGGCGGGTCTTGTGTGGAGGATGACTGACAGGTGGGGTGGGCGGGTCTTGTGTGGATGATTGACAGGTGGGGTTTAGCTGGTGGGTCTGCTCCAGTAATATATGTGCTTCTGTGTCCCAGGTATAGGTGTCTCTCTCTGTCTGTGTGCGGTTGTGTTGTTCCACTCAGGGTCAACCCCTGGGTGCATTGGTTTTTGGGCGCTGGATGGGCGGCACATTTTAGACCATTCCATTGGTTCTTTAGTGAAATCTCCGCCCCCCCCGGAGCATCGAGTGAGCTCTCCACTTGACTGAATTTTGGCCTACTAGGGTCATTGTCCTTTTTTAAATGAGAAGAACCACATTATTATTATCTATGTTCAATGATGTAACAATAAAGGTTTAAGTGAACACAAACCCAGCTGGTGTCTCGTGTGAGTTCCGTGGTGTTTGTACTTATTATTACACCAGAGGTCTATTTGTGTCTAGGAAAACATTTGACTCACAGGATTCTGTTGACTGAATGGAAATGTACTATGACAAGACTTGATCATTGTAATTCACGTGTATAAACATGCATTTAATATGTAAAACCTCAGCTCATTGACTCACTCATCCCGTCACGCCGGCTGGAGCATTGGGCAGCAACAAAGGATCTCCACTTCCTGCCGTCTTTGGCCATCTTCTCCATTGTGCTCCAGCTCTACTGGTGTTGCTGGTTCTCAGTCTTCACTCTTCATTGTTCTCCATGTCCAATGGACAGCTAACCTTGGAATGGAATCTGCATTTATTCGTAGAACATGTCCAATCCAGCTCCAGCAGCGTCTCTTGAGTATTGTGACCAAAACGTCAGCAAGTAGATCTCCATACTCTTGAAATGGGAAAATAATACTGAAGTCGCGAAGATTAATTATCACAACCTGACATGAGAAGTGGGTTTGGATAACCTCCAAAGCAGAAAGCTAAGTACTCTTTTTGGAGAAAGCACAAGGCAAAGTGAAAGACTTCGCCTCACTTACAGTTGAAGTCGGAAGTTTACATACACCTTCGCCAAATACATTTAAACTCAGTTTTTCACAATTCCTGACATTTAATCCTAGTAGCAATTCCGTGTCTTAGGTCAGTTAGGATCACCACTTTATTTTAAGAATGTGAAATGTCAGAATAATAGTAGAGAGAATGATTTATTTCAGCTTTCATTTTTTTCATCACATTTTCAGTGGGTCAGAAGTTTACATATACTCAATTAGTATTTGGTAGCATTGCCTTTACATTGTTTAACTTGGGTCAAACGTTTCGGGTAGCCTTCCACAAGCTTCCCACAATAAGTTGGGTGAATTTTGGCCCATTCCTCCTGACAGAGCTGGTGTAACTGAGTCAGGTTTGTAGGCCTCCTTGCTCGCACACACTTTTTCAGTTCTGCCCACACATTTTCTATAGGATTGAGGTCAGGGCTTTGTGATGGCCACTCCAATACCTTGACTTTGTTGTCCTTAAGCCATTTTGCCACAACTTTGGAAGTATGTTTGGGGTCATTGTCCATTTGGAAGACCCATTTGCGACCAATCTTTAACTTCCTGACTGATGTCTTGAGATGTTGCTTCAATATATCCACATAATTTTCCTTCCTTATGATGCCATCTATTTTGTGAAGTGCACCAGTCCCTCCTGCAGCAAAGCACCCCCACAGCATGATGCTGCCACCCCCGTGCTTCACGGTTGGGATGGTGTTCTTCGGCTTGCAAGTCCCCCTTTTTTCCTCCAAACATAACGATGGTCATTATGGGAAAACAGTTCTATTTTTGTCAGACCAGAGGACATTTCTCCAAAAAGTACGATCTTTGTCCCCATGTGCAGTTGCAAACCATAGTCTGGCTTTTTTATGGCGGTTTTGGAGCGTGGCTTCTTCCTTGCTGAGCGGCCTTTCAGGTAATGTCGATATAGGACTCGTTTTACTGTGGATATAGATACTTTTGTACCCGTTTCCTCCAGCATCTTCACAAGGTCCTTTGCTGTTGTTCTGGGATTGATTTGCACTTTTCGCACCAAAGTACGTTCATCTCTAGGAGACAAAACACATCTCCTTCCTGAGCGGTATGATGGCTGCGTGGTCCCATGGTGTTTATACTTGCGTATTTTTGTTTGTACAGATGAGCGTGGTACCTTCAGGCATTTGGAATTTGCTCCCAAGGATGAACCAGACATGTGGAGGTCTACCATTTTTTTCCTGAGGTCTTGGCTGATTTCTTTTGATTTTCCTATGATGTCAAGCAAAGAGGCACTGAGTTTGAAGGTAGGTCTTGAAATACATCCACATGTACACCTTCAATTGACTCAAAGGATGTCAATTAGCCTATCAGAAGCTTCTAAAGCCATGACATCATTTTCTGGAATTTTCCAAGCTGTTTAAAGACACAGTCAACTTAGTGTATGTAAACTTCTGACCCACTGGAATTGTGATACAGTGAATTATAAGTGAAATAATCTGTCTGTAAACAATTGTTGGAAAAATTACTTGTGTCATGCACAAAGTAGATGTCCTAACCGACTTGCCAAAACTATAGTTTGTTAACTGGGCGGCAGGTAGCTTAGTGGGTAAGAGCGTTGTGCCAGTAACCGAAAGGTCGCTGGTTCTAATCCCCGAGCCGACTAGGTGAAAAATCTGTCGATGTGCCCCTGAGCAAGGCACTTAACCCTAATTGCTCCTGTAAGTCGCTCTGGATAAGAGCGTCTGCTAAATGACTAAAATGTAAATGTAAATGTTAACAAGAAATTTGTGGAGTGGTTGAAAAATGTGTTTTAAACATCCCACATCAACTGTAGACTAGTGCGTGAAAACCAACTCAAAATTCTATCATATCAATATTGTGCATTTCACAACTCCTGAAAACATGATCAATCTTATCAATTGAAGGAAAAACAGGTAAACACCAGAGGTTTTGTAAGCACTGGCGTTATCTAGCATCAAGCCACCAAAAGACATGCTAAACACAAGAGACACTATATGACCTCAACAACACTGGCCAGCCAGTTTTCAGAATGAGGAGTGTCCATAGACTCAGCACCCACTACCATAGGACAATGTGCAAAATGTTTCCACCAATAGATAGTCCCTCCATGCCCTGCTGCCCCAGACAACATGTCAGCAGTGAGAAATACCCACAGAAATGTAGCTACGGCTGGCCATGCTGTCCACCTGGCTACCACTACCCCGGCCACCAGCTTTGCACCCTCCGCTATAACTTGCCGATGCCCCCCCCCCCCCCCCCCTTCTCCTTCACACAAATTCAGACAGCTGATGTTCTGAAAGAGCTGCAACATCTGGACCCCTACAAATCATCTGGGCTAGACAATCTGGACTCTTTCTTTCTAAAATTAGCCGCCGAAATTGTCGCAATCCCTATTACTAGCCTGTTCAACCTCTCTTTCGTAATGTCTGAGATCCCCAGAGATTGGAAAGCTGCCGCGGTCATCCCCCTCTTCAAAGGGGGTGACACTCTAGATCCAAACCGTTACAGACCTATATCCATCCTGCCCTGCCTTTCAAAAGTTTTTGAAAGCCAAGTTAACAAACAGATCACCAACCATTTAGAATCCCACCGTACCTTCTCCGCTATGCAATCCGGTTTCCGAGCTGGTCATGGGTGCACCTCAGCCACGCTCAAGGTCCTAAACGATATTATAACCGTGATCGATAATAGACAGTACTGTGCAGCCGTCTTCATTGACCTGGCCAAGGCTTTCGACTCTGTCAACCACCACATTCTTATTGGCAGAGTAAATAGCCTTAGTTTCTCAAATGACTGCCTCGTCTGGTTCACCAACTACTTCTCAGATAGATAGAGTTCAATGTGTCAAATCGGAGGGCCTGTTGTCTGGATCTATGGCAGTCTCTATGGGGGTGCCACAGGGTTCAATTCTCGGGACGACTCTTTTCTCTGTGTATATCAATGATGTCGCTCTTGCTGCTGGTGACTCTCAGATCCACCTCTGTATACATCTGGCCCGTCATTGGACACTGTGTTAACAAACCTCCAAACGAGCTTCAATGCCATAAAACACTCCTTCCGTAGCCTCCAACTGCTCTTAAACACTAGTAAAACTAAATGCATGCTCTTCAATCGAACGCTGCTGGCACCTGCCCACCCGACTAGAATCACTACTCTCAGCGGATCTGACCTAGAGTATGTGGACAACTACAAATACCTAGGTGTCTGGTTAGACTGTAAACTCTCCTTCCAGACTCACATTAAGCCTCTCCAATCCAAAGTTAAATCTAGAATCGGCTTCCTATTTCGCAACAAAGCCTCCTTCACTCATGCTGCCAAACATGCCCTCGTAAAACTGACTATCCTACCGATCCTTGACTTCGGCGATGTCATTTACAAAATAGCCTCCAGCACTCTACTCAGCAAATTGGATGTAGTCTATCACAGTGCCATCCGTTTTGTCACCAAAGCCCCATATACTACCCACCACTATAACCTGTACGCTCTTGTTGGCTGGTCCTCACTACATATTCGTCGCCAAACCCACGGGCTCCAGGTCATCTATAAATCACTCCTAGGCAAATCCACGCCTTATCTTAGCTCATTGGTCACCATAGAAACACCCACCCGTAGTATGCGCTCCAGCAGGTATTTCTCACTGGTCATCCCCAAAGCCAACACCTCCTTTGGCCGCCATTCCTTCCAGTTCTCTGCTGCCAATGACTGGAACGAACTGCAAAAATCTCTTAAGATGGAGACTCTTATCTCCCTCACTAACTTTAAGCATCAGTTGTCAGAGCACCTTACCGATCACTGCACATGTACACAGCCCATCTGAAATTAGCCCACCCAACTACCTCATCCCCATATTGTTATTTATTTTGCTCATTTGCACCCCAATATCTCTATTTGCACATCATCTCTTGCACATCTATCCTTCCAGTGTTAATACTAAATTGTAATTATTTTGCACTATGGTCTCTTTATTGCCTTACCTCCATAACTTGCTACATTTGCACACACTGTATATATATATTTTTTTGTATTTTTGACTTTATGTTTTGTTTACCCCATATGTAACTCTGTGTTGTTGTTTTTATCGCACTGCTTTGGCCAGGTCGCAGTTGTAAATGAGAACTTGTTCTCAACTGGCTTACCTGGTTAAATAAAGGTGAAATAAAAAATAAAAAATAAATATAAGGATTCTTGTTAGCCCTGTGTGCAGCCTTGGTGACCTCCTGCTTGATCCAGATGTTCCCAGAGTAAACAT